ACTTGGGCTGACGACCAGGCGACTCAGCGGTCGTCCCAGGGTTACTCTTTCCGTCTCGGCTTTGGTTCTGTCTCATGGAGGTCCACTCGTTCGTCTTCTGTACTTGGTTCCAGCTTGTGAGGCCGAGATCTACATTGGGGCCATGACTGCACAGGAGTTATGCTGGCTGACCTACCTGCTGATCGACTTGGGTGTGCGGCCTCGTTCGCCTCCAGTTCTGTACGTCAACAACAAGGCCATGATTGCCTTGTCTCAGGAGCAGAGACTAGAGCACAAAACGAAGCTGATTGCTCTTCGTTACTTTCTTGCTCGGGAGCTGCAACAGCGTGGTCAGCTGCGCCTTGCTTACGTGGCCTCTCGAGCCAACACCGCTGATGTCTTCATCAGCGTTTCTGCATTGCTCTAGGCCTTGTGCCTACTCTGCCTCACCTGCTGGTTGCTTGACTTCGTCTTGTACTGTGATATATATATATATATATATATATACCTGCATGCTTGCTCTTGCTAGGTTGTGATCACTGTACTGCTTGAGCTTTTATATCTTTGCATGTAAACTGGCCTTGTGGCCGCTTGCTTGAGCTCAGACTGCGTGGTGATCTTGAGATCCACCCTGAGCTTTGCTTTGCTTTGTTCTCTTGCTTGACTAGTCTTATGACCGTCCGTTGTGTTTGCTATCCCCCACTTTGCCTATGGGGGTGTGTCAAATTGCATTTGTTATCTCTAGGCTGTTATAGGGCATACTCTAAGGAGTACAATACTCTAGGTCAACCCTAGTACTTGTACTCATCCTTGCATCCTAGTCAACCATTTCTGTGTACTATTTTTGGCAGTCTAGATAGAAGTGCATGCGCACTATGTGAAGACGATATTCACTATGAAGATAGATGATACTATTTTAGTCTTCAGTGAACCAACATCCTTTTCAATATGAATCGTTTAAGATACGAATGTCTAAAATCCAGGCGATAAATATTTATACCAAATTTAAAGCTAGAGGGCTTTCCCTTTACCTTACAACTTTTGAAATGTTTTTTTTTTCAACCTTATATGTACAGCACATAAAGCATGGAAACATAGACAATAACTACCCCCTAAATAGCCCGAATTGACAACGACACTCAACAACAACCCAACCCAATACCTTGCCCTAAGGATGCCCCTCAGAACCTACATTCCTTTCCGCCCTCCCCACCAACCCCCAACGCCCTGACCCCCTCCCTTTCCCCCTCCTCTACCCTCTCACAGCCGTGCATCCGACAAATACGGGGCCTCCACCTAGAGAGCCCCCCCCTCATCCACCATGTCCTCTCTCTCCCTATCTACCAAGTCAACGTCCACCCCGCCCATGGACGACGCAGCCCGCAACAAGATAACGCGAGCCTGCGCACGTTGCAATACCATCCCAATAAGCGTTTTCAAAGACCCCAAGAGATATGACGAGAATGATGTGTCATCTTCCCGACAGGCCCCTCGCGACACAGCTAACCGTAAGTGAGCGTCCCTCTGCTGACTCAACCAACGTCTGAAACATTCGCCCAAGCACCCCCACGTCTCAACGATCAAAGGTGTGAACTGCACCCCCCGATTGCTCGCCAGCAACGGTCCGTAATCATTCGCCTTCCGTCGCTCCCACTCCTTGGCCGCCACGCCCATAGTCCGCCCGCGCTGCCCGACCAAAGATGGAGAGAGCGACAAGGGGTCTGCAACACTAATCTCCAAGGCGTGCGCCTCACCGTCCATCGGTCGACGCACTGCAACATCCACACGCTTTCCTGGCAACAACATGTCATCCTCCATCGTCACCACCCCCCCCCGATGCCTTGGAAATCGTCGCCACCGCAAACTTCACATCATCATGCACCCGAGAGGGACCGTGCTGATGCTTGCATCGCAGTGCATGGTGCGGGACCGCCGGGTCCATGTACATCATGCCGCATACACAATGCCCTGCCACGTGCAGCTGCTGGATCGGAAGGCCCAGACGCACAGCTGCAGCAATGCTCCACTCAGCAGCTGTGAAGGTGAAATCCACATGAGCTGGGACAGCCGAGACCCATGCACCAGCCCCCGGGCCCTGAAGGGATGTGAAACGGGCAAGTGTGGCATCGTCACGGGCCAATCAACGCACAGCCTGAAGTTCCTCCACAGCCAACTGCCGCACCCGCGCCTGGAGTAGACGAACAGGGGGGGCTGTGACGCAGATAGGCAAGCTCGGCATCTCCCGGCGTACAGCCTCTGGCAACTGCTCGAGGCTCTTGGAGAACCAGGGATCAAGAAAATCCACCCCCGCCACAGTCATGAGATAGTCCGCAAACATCGCCTCCTCGCCTGCTACCCCCAACTGCGCAATGTCACGCGCAGCCTGTGCCCACCCACAAGCGTAAGACAGCGGACTCAAGGAAGCCGCTACTCGAATCCCAAAGCTGTCGAGACGAACAGGTAGGTGCAACTGCAGGCGAGCCAGCCTAGACAGTGCAGGGTCGTACTCCCAGGTGCCAACCGGGAAGAGCTGCTCGAAACAGTCCTCCAGACTACTGTCCTAGTCACTGAAAGCGTCCACCACCTCTGGCCGCGGCGGCACAGTCCGCACGAGGTACATTGGCCGCGCTGAAACAGCGATAGCCAAGAGTTGTGACGCCATCTGCGGGTGGTCGAGCAAGGGGAGCCACGGCAAGGGCGTCTACAGTTGCCGAAGCCGCTCCCGCAAACAAGATACCTCCTAGTCCTCCACTCCAACGGGGACCCCCACAACTGTGAGTCCCTCCTCCACCCGCTGCATGCCCAAAGGCATCTCCTGTATCGCGTCAGAGGCCTCCCGTACCCAGAATCGGCACTTGTGGGCCTGCACCTCCAACCCCACCCCTTGCAGCCATTCCCGTAACATGCCGAACGCCTTCAAAAGCCTTGCCGCCGGGCCCAAAATGTAGGTATCATCCGCATAGCTCAGGAAAAGCAAATCAGCAAACTCGGTAGTGACTGGCTCCATGACCATCTGCTGCGTGAATGCGAAGAGGAAAGGCCCGAGTGGGTCCCCCTGCCGGGATCCTCATGCTGAAGCGAGAGTTTCTACGAATGGGCCTGCCCGGAGATAAAGATCACTAGGTGTCCCGTAAAAGATACCCAAGAATGGGATGAGACCCAAAAAGGGGGACTTCCGCAGCCCCTCAAGCATCGCCGGTCGGTGGAAGGAGTTGAATGCGTTCGCAACATCTATCTGCAGCGCGCACCAATCTGTATGAGTAGTCAGAGCCGAGCGAAAGGCGTGAGTCAAAATCTCCATTCTTGCGCTGGTGCCAACGCCCAGCTGGTGACACGGCCAAAAGTGGGAGGCCATCGCTGGTCTGAGTGTAATGCAGAGTGCTCGTGCAAGGATGCGCGGAAGGACCTCTCCAATGGCCACCGGCCGGACATCGCCGTTGGGCTTAGACAACCCAACCAGGTTAGAAGCAGCAAGCCAGGGCCGTGCCCGCTCGGGAACCTGCCCTGCAACCCATTGGTTGAATACATCGAGCAGGTGAACCAGGCTGGTCGGTTCTGTAAGGAACGTGTCGCGCAAGTGCTCCGTAAGCCACCCCGACGGCCCTGCAGCGGAAGCGCGAGCAGCTGTGTGAATAGCCGTAGCTAGTATGTCGACTGTGAGCACTGGTCGCTGAGGAGCATCAATGTCAAAAGTGCGGACCCAGTCCGGTATTTCGCTCACACTGGTGGGATGCTTCCCCCGCAATGTCTGCACCATAGCCTCTGACGGCCTAGCCAACTCCCCTCCCATGAGGCATGCCAACCCACGAATCCACTCCCCCACTTTGCACCTAGTCCGACAACGAGCAAGGCGGATGGCGTCAGGATCTTGGTCAGAGGAGGTATAGGTTAGGGGACGAACTGCTGGGCGTGCTGCAAGCATGGCAGAGTCGAACAGCTCACGCCACCTCCCCTCCCAGTTGCTGTCAAACGCTCCATAATCAATGCCCTTTGACCTATTCCTCGTATGGTCGGCAGGCCTAGGAGGAGGCGTGGGAAGGCCAAGAGAAAGAGTGTGGCAGCTTCGTCCTTGGGTCGGCTCTTCAGTCGTTTCAAAACGCATCACAACGCATTGAGGACCCCCAGTCGGGCACGCTGAGGGATTCGACGCACCGTCTTCCCCCCTACCACCTCCACACCGAAGAATGCTTCCCAATCCCATGACGGAACTGCCGCCCATACCCCTTCCTAAATTTCCCTCGTTGTCGGTCTCTCCTGCGTGTCATTTTCTGCGAGGGAAGGGATTAAGCCAAGCGCATATGCACGCCTCTCTACCTCAGCCGCTCGACGCGCTGTCATGTGGCTCGCAGCCACTCCTCGAGTGGTAAACGTGTGAAAACTCACGTCGCATGAGTAGCGGTGAAGTGGAGGAGGCAGCTCATGGTATCCACCATCCGATGCCATTGCCTCCCCTTCTAACGCCATAGGGGTGTCGAACGTCGCCAACTGCCGCGGGGATTCGGTACCCTGCTCACACCCTTCTCCTTGCCACTGCACAATCTGGTGCGCTTTTGTCACCCCTGACTGCCCCCCTGGCTGCTGCGTCCCCCGGCTACCCCCCTGGCTGCTGCGAAGCCTGAGGTGCCGTAACCTCTTCCAGCCGCCCCAGCTTCTGCTGCCCGCCCTGGGATGCAGTGCTTGCCCCCGGCTGTCCCCCCGATTGATGAACGCCCTGGGGTGCTGCTGCCACCACCGACTGCACCCCCGACCGCTGTGAGGCCTGAGATGCTGATATCCTCTCCGTCTGCCTCCCTAAATGCTGCACAACTAGGGGCTCGCCTGCCACTCCCGGCTGTCCCCCAGGCTGCTGCATGCCCTGAAGTGCCGCTCCCACCCCTGGTTGTCCCGCTGGATGCAAGGCCCCTTCAGGCGGTGCTGCCCCCCCAGATGTCCCTCCGCCTGCCGTGAGCCCTGGGTGCCGCTATCAACCCCCGTTGTCCCCCTGCCTGCTGCACGCCCTGGGGTACTGCAGTCACTCCCCGCTATCCCCCTGCCTGCTGCATGCCCTGAGGTGCCGCAGTCACTCTCCGCTTTCCCCCAGCCTTCTGCACGCTCTGGGGTGCTGCAGTCACTCCCGACTGCCCCCCCGGCCGCCACAGGTCCTGAGGTTTTGATTTCAACTCCGACTGGCCCCCTGGATGCTGTACGCCATGGGGTGCTCCTGTCATTCCCGGCTGCCCCTCAGGCTGCTGCACGCCCTGGGGCGCCACTCTCGCCCCTGGCTGCCCTTCTGGATGCAAGTCGCCTTCAGGTGCTGCTGCCCCCCGCAGCCAATCCTCTGGCTGCCGCTCATCTTGGGATGCTCCTGTCTCTCCTGGCTGCACCTCAAGCCGCAGCACAACACGGGGTGTAGATGATGCATCTTGCTGCCTCCCCGGATGCTGTACGCCATGGGGTGCTCCTGTCATTCCCGGCTGCCCCTCAGGCTGCTGCACGCCCTGGGGCGCCATTCTCATCCTTGGCTGCCCTTCAGGATGCAAGGCGCCCTCGGTTGCCGCTATCTCCCCCAGCCGCTTCTCTGGCTGCCGCTCACTCTGGGGTGCTCCTGTCGCCCCCCCCTGGCTCACTGCCTGCTGACCCTGCGGAGTGCCCTGCCACTGCCTGCCTTGGCCGCCACGTCGCCGCCTGCTCTTGCCTCGTGGCAATTGGTCACCTGAGACCCCCTGTGCCCGTGCATCCATGCTGCATGGCTGCTGGCCTCTCTGACCAGCTTCCCCGACCCGCTCCCCAGAATCTTGGCCCGCCATCAGATCTCCAGGAAGATCAGTCGGGCCTTGTGGGTACTCACCCCCTCGAGCCGGAAACGGTGACGAGGGCACCATATCCATCTCCATTTCGTGGTGCACGACTCGGGGTGGGCTTGCTTCGCCCATGATTTCATCTCCAATAGCCTCACCCACACCACTGCCCAACTTCTTCCCCTGCTGCACCTCCAGCTGTAGCCCCTGCTGCTCCCCCAGCTGCTGCCCCTGCTGCTCCCCAGGGTGCTGGCCCCCTTTCTCCCTTGGCTGCTGATCCTGCGACTCCTCTGGCAGCAAATCCCGCTGTTCCCCTGCCTGCAGCTCCGGCTGCTCCTCTAACTGTGGTTCCCGCTGCTCCCCTGGCAGCACGCCCTGCTGGCCTTCAACCAGCTGCTCCTGCTGTTGTGCTGGCAGCAGGACCCACTGATGCTGTTCCTGGCAGACTTCCGCCATGGGTTCATCCCTCCTGGCTGCATGCCAGCAGCCACCCGAGTGAGCAGCCACAGCAATAGCCTCTCCCGGTCACAACGTTAGCTGGCAAGCCCCCGAGGTCTCAGCCCTGGGCAGGACTTCATCACGCTTGTGATGCTCCTGCTGCCCCCCAAACCCCCGGTCTTCCAGTCCTTCGCCCTGCTGTCGCCCCTGTTGGTCACCAGGCTGCCGTCCCAGGTGGTCACCAAGCCGCCGCCCCTGCAGCTCACCAAGCTGCCGCCCCTGCCCACTGCCCTGCTGACACTGCTCCCGGAGGTCTCCTCGGTGCTGGTCCCAGTGATCCCCATGCTGCTGCCCCTGCTGGGCTACGAGGCACCCCCGTTCAGTGGTCCTAGCACGGCCACAACCCCGACCACGCCTGCGAGGGCGCACGTCGACGTGCGAAGTAGCCGCAGACTGCACACCCTGCGTGCTCTGGAAGAGGAAGGCATGGTCCTCCGCTCCCGCCCTTCCCTCCAGCAGTCCCCAATCCCATGCTCTCGGGAAAGGATTCAAACCACTGCTCTCCCTCACAGCCAGCCCTGCAGTCAGCGACAGGGCCGGTTGTGTCCCCACCAGCAAATCTGGTTGCTCTCGCACAGGTTTCCCCCTCCGTTCCCCATGCTCCTTCACAGGCAGCCCGTCCTGGACTGCTGTCGGCAAGCCGTGCTGCCGCTCTGCCAGGCAGCTCGGCTGGCTTGCTGGAATCAATCCTAAGAAGCTTGCTGCTGTCAGGTCCTGCTGCTCGCATGCCCTTTCCTCCCGGCCTTCCTCCGCCGGCAAAACCTCCTGTGGGCCCACTCGCATCTCCTCCAGCCCCCCCCCCCCGGCAGCTCCCACAGTCCGCCTGTGTTGGCTTCCAACCAGCGTCTCCGCTCCTGTCGCCGTGCCAGGCGCGGCCCACGTGGGGCCACGTTGGTACCCGCTAAAGCCCCAACGGAGCTGCGCTTCTCTGTTATCGTGGCACTGCATGAAAGCTCACGCCGCCGTGTGTCGTGCAACCCTTGTAAGCGCTGGCGCTGCGCCTGCCATACTGCCAATGCCGTGTCCACCCCCGAGACACCTGGCTGCTGCTCTAGATCATGTAACCTATGAGAGTCCTGCATGTCCGGCTGCTCTGAGGGAGCAGTCGGGCTCTCGGGTGACGGCTGCCTGTCCACTGAGGGTGAGTGTGGGGTGACAGCAGCCTCCGATTGCTCACGACTCATAGGCAACGTTTCACGCAGAGGCACCTTCCCATCACTAGGGCCCCGAAACCCCCCTGATAGTGGCGTTAGTACAGGTGTGTCATTCACGCTCACCGGAGTAGGTGGTTCACCTCGAAGTCGCTTCGTTGGCGTCCCTTCCAAGCAAAGAAGCTCCTGCGAGCTCAAGCGCCGGAAGCCCAACAGATGTGATTCCGTCGGAGCCTCCCGAGGCCGCTTAGGAGCTCTTATATGGCGATGGGATACAGGCCCTTCACAACCCATGGCGGCTAATCCTGGCTCACCGTAAGGCACGTCCGCCGATGGAAACTCTCCACGCGAATCAGTCATACAACATGTCCTGTAGCAGGGCATTTTCAAGCAGAGCGACCTACTACGGTTCGAAAGCAGAAGAAAGGAAGTGCGGGATGGCGCGACAGAGACGCAGTAGCATGGATCCAACACTACACTACGAGTGTGTAACAGAATTGGCGGCAACGCTATGTTCCAAGCGGGAATCGCGGGTGCTAGCGAGGTGACGTGAACAAGTCGCTCCGCTACGCGCTCCTGGCGAGAGTCGCAGTTGTGAATGTGGTGGCGTGAAACTGTCACTACAGTACTCACTGCTAAGGGGAGTGACGCTACGACACACCCTGTTAAGGGGAATCACGGCCATAAGCGAGGTGGCGTGAAGCCGCGACGCTACGATACACACTGCTACGGGGAATCACGGCTGTAAGTGAGGTGGCGTGAAGCCGACGCTACGATACACGCTGCTAGCGAAAAACACGGCTGTGAGCGTGGTGGCGTGAAGCAGACACTACGCTTCGCCCTTCCTTACGAGATTCGCGACTGTGGGCGCAGTGGCGTGACGTATCTGCTGCTAGCGGGATTCGCGGCTAGGAGCGTTGTGGTGTAGATCGAACGTCTCGCTACCTGCTGCTAGCGGGGATTATGGGCGCCTTCAAAATGTGCCATCAGGGAATAATTGATTCAAAAATATAAGTCATTTAGATTTATGTTCCATGTGAATTTTCAGCTTTTGTTTTTTTGGGCTTCAAGGTGACCGTGGAACCAGTTCTCGAAACGAAGCTTCTGTCGGATATTCCTTCTCCCCACGTCATCCCTCGTCACCACACACAACCCTCCCTCTCTGCGCACATCAGCACTACACTCTGTAACGCGTACGATCTGAGTCGTAGTCAGTAGCAGGCAGGACGTGGGCGTTGACTCGAGAGGGATCAGAGGCGCGAAAAGTGGGTGTGTGGCGCGGAATGCGAGTGTGAAGCGCAAAGATAGTATGCGGCGTGCGATGATATTTGGTGTCGAAATACAGGTTCTTTAGGAACTGCTGCGTAAACTCGCGGCAAAAATCAAATCCCCACCCGTTCGCCCAAGCGTGACCCTCCCCTCGCCCTCGCTTTCCTTTCCCCAAATCTCACGCTTCCCCAGCCCGTCCCCTTAGCTTCCCCAGCCCGTCGCCTTCGCTTTCCCCGCCCCCGTCGCCTTCGCTTTCCCCGCCCCCATCGCCTTCGCTTTCCCCACACATCAGCGGTGCACTCAGCCCGTCGTTTGCTTACCCCCCCCCCCCCCCCCCCCCCCCGCTTCCCCCCCCCGTCGCCTTCGCTTCCCCCCGCCCCCGTCGCCTTCGCTTCCCCTGCCCGTCGCCTTCGAGCCTCAGAGGCTGCTCGGCGCGCTTTGTGTGATACGCGTACGGCCAATCGGATCTCGCCATGTGGCAGCGCCGCTCCGCCGCTATCATCAGCAAACGTGTCTGCTCGCTGTCTCGTCTCTCCCTCCCGCGTCCGCCTCCCTCCCACCCTGCCACGTCACACAATGCCACGTCATTCCCATCCGTGACAAACGACGCAAGTCCTCTTCTTGCCACGCAATCAGGCCACTACCACGCTGCCACGTGTACAGATGCATCTACAAGTGCCAGCTCAGCATGCGGCCCCACTGCGTCCAGTGCCGCCCACATCAAGTCAGGCGGGTCAACGCCGGTCAACGTGACCCAAGTCAGCAGCAGTCCTTCCGCGCTGTCACTAGCACGTGGATTCAACACGCTTGTACGACGTCATCATGCGGTACAGCAAATCGACAGCATCAGCAGACCGCACATGCGAGCAACCAATAGCATGCCACCCAAGATATCTTCCACTATTTCCGCAGCACTCCAGTCATCCGCCTCCCCCTCCCTCTCATCCCCCGCCAATGTGATCCGCACGCTCCAAACCTCCTCAGCCACGTCAGCACCCTCAGCCACGTCACCAGCCGCGAGCCCAGCCCCCACCCCGGCAGCAGCATCCACCACCCCTACCTCATCCCCTTCCGCCACGTCAGCAACCGCCACGTCAGCAACCGCCACGTCAGCAACCGCCACGTCAGCAGCAGCAGAGGCAGGCGAGCACGGCCAGTTCACATGCAGAGATATATAAAAGAGAACAAACAGTACAGTGATCATACCCTAGCAAGTGCAAGCATGCAGGTACATATATAGATCACAGTACAAGAAAAGTCACGCAGTAAGCAAGTGAGGCAAAATAGGCACAAGGCCTTAAACACTACAGAAACGTTGATGATCACCAGACTGAAGTGCCTTGGTGAATATATCAGCAGTGTTGGCCCTAGTGGCCACGTAAGCAAGACGAAGCTGACCACGCTGCTGCAACTCTTGAGCAAGGAAGTATCGCAGAGCGATGTGCTTCGTTCGGTGCTCCAGTCTGTGCTCCCGACACAAGGCAATCATGGCCTTGTTGTCAATGTACAGAACTAGAGAAGAACGAGGCTACTCTCCCAAGTCAGTCAGCACATAGGTGAGCCAGCATAGCTCCTGTGCAGCCATGGCCTCTGCGTAGATCTCAGCCTCACAACTGGAGCTGAGAACCGAAGACGAGCGGGTAGACCGCCAGGAAACAGAGCCGGAACGAAGGCTGAAGGTGTAACCCTGTGAGGACTGCTGCGTAGCTGAGTCGTCAACCCAAGAAGGGTCTGCGTGACCAGTGAGGACAACTGGACCCCGTCCTCCAAGCACGAGCCCCATGCCCGACGTACTGCACAAGTAGCGCAACACCCTCTTAGCGGCCTCCCAGTGCTCTGGTTGGTGTCTCCCGGGCGCAACATGGCGTGCCACTATGCTAAGAGGGTAGGCAAGGTTAGGTCGAGTGCAGGTCATCAGGTACATGAGGCAGCCCACAAGCTCTGGATACAGGCCACTCGGCTCTACAGACTTGTCCAAAGGTGGAGTTGAGAGCGAGTGACCGGTAGGCAGAGAAGTGGACTGTGGCAGGGAGTACCAGAAGCCGAAGCGCTGAAAGACCTGGTGCACCATGTGTGACTGAGTCAGGGTGATGGTGCACCATGCTCTGTCCCCGGTGATCTGCAAGCCAAGATAGCTGCGCAGTTCACCCAGGTCAGTGCAGGTGTGTCTCTTCTGCAGCTCCGACTTCACAAGCGCCAGTGCTTCAGTGTCAGCAGTGGCAAAGACCAAATCTTCGACGTACACGAGGACGTAGAACAGTGGCAACGAAATGTCGGTGTGTAGAAACAGCGACGGGTCAGCAGTAGGAGTAAACCCCAAAGCCGCAAGTGTATTCCTCAGTGTGTCGTGCCACTCGCGAGGCGCCTGGCGGAGACCGTAGACTGGACCCCGGAGGCTCCACTGGGTACCTGCAGGAAACGACCCAGTGAAGCTAGGTGGGCGGTGCAGCCAGATCTCCTCGTGCAGGCTACCCTGCAAGAAAGCTGTGCTGAAGTCAAGAGAGCGAAGCTCGTAGTCACGCTGAGCGACAACGTGCAGCAGTACCCGAAGAGTAGTCATCTTTGGGGTAGGGGAGAAGGTTTGGAAGAAGTCAACTCCCTGTCGCTGACTGAAGCCCCGTGCAACGTAACGAGCCTTGAAGGCAGGCGGAGAACCCAACGGCCGCTTTACCCTGAAAATCCACATGCCATCGACTATGTTCGCTCCAGGAGGGGGAACTGCGTCGACGTAAGTGCCTGTGGACTTCCAGAATGCCATCTCTGCGTCCATGGCTGTCTGCCACTGAGAGGAGTAGGGACCCGTAATCGCCTCTGCGTAAGAGCGCGGGGTCGGGACGTCTGGTGCATACGGGTCTCCCTCAGGTGCTATCAGCATGGACACGAGATGAGGTACAGCAGCTGCAAAACACTCAAAATCCTCCTGCCTGTCCTCAAGGACGTCCGTGCCAAGAGCACACTCACCCCCAACGGACGGAGGACACTCAGACTCAGACTCAGCAACAAGGCTAGCGGCGTAGTTGAGACGACAGGCGGCATCAAAGTCAACAAGCGTAGCAACTAGGGCAGACGCAGCAGCAGACTCAAACGAAGGGTCTGTGACAACAGTGGCTAGAAGACGAGGGACAGTAGGACTGGCAGCACGAACTAAGTCAGACTCAAGTTCCGGACCGTCAGCAAGAGAGGACGCAGGAGGAGACGGTAGGGGGACACGCTGTGGAACAGAGGAAGGACGAAGTGCCATATGGTGCGTGCTAGAGACAGGAGGAGGACGCTGCCGAGGAACATGAAGACTAGTGCGAACAGCGCGAACAGGCGAGGCAGGACGAGACACAGCCTCACGACGCTCTGTAAGACCTCCGGTCTGCTCAGTGTAAGGAGAAGGAGCAAGCAGTGGGGAGGCTGGCTGTAACGGCGGCTGCGACTGGTCAGGCGGTGGACACAGTAAGGGAGGAGTAAGGCTAGTAGAAGATGGAAGACCAAGTACGGTTGCAGCCGTCCAGTGTCTCCAGCTCCAGCACCAACAGCACA